TATATATATATATGAAAGCAGATCTAAGAGTTTTGAAAAAATTATTAGGTGCGGAGTGTGCACCGTCCGCACAAACATTGGGTACTTAGCGGTACCCAGTGATACCCAGCAGTACCGAGTGCCGGTACCTAGCTGGGTATAATGCTTGAGCGGACGGTTCTCTCCATTCGCATTCCGCACCTAATAATCTCCCAAAGTTTTGAGCTTATTAACAATTCTAGTGATATGAATGCCACTATGAAAAAACTTTGCTTACCTCTCCATTTGCTCCACGGTTTACTTTCTTTGGAGAGAGAGAGAAATGAAAAAAAGGGAAAAATTCAAATGACAAACATCTCTTGCTCAAGATATATTAAGTGCCATCCAACTCAAAATTGCATCTTGGGAGTTTTAGCCTTTTGCAATCTTTCTCCAGATCGATCTATATGAGGGTTTTTGTTGGACAATGATGAATGGTGCCTACAATAATTGATTGTAGCTTGAAAGGTCTTCTTGACAACCAGGGGGAGATTTGTTCTTGGCTTAGCCGTTGGGACAGATTATTACGTGCAGAATCTAGACTGGAGCTACGTCTGGATTCTATGAGTGTGCGCAATAAAAGCGTAGTGTGCACAGTAATTGTGCTTTTACTGCGCACATTCACAAGATTCGGACAGTTCTCCGGTCCAAACTCCGCACGTAATAATCTCTCGTCCTTTGGAGGATCATCAAGAGATCTGCAGCTGCTTCGGCATTCTTCTAGGATTTTATATGATTGTTGGTTAACTTTTATAACATTCATAGCATAATTTGTCTTTACTTTTTCACTATTTTCTATCTCACCTTATCTTTATGTATTTGCCTCAAGCTGATCCTTGTAGAAAAGCACAGCGTGCCAGAACACAAGAAGCAGAGAAAGAGAGAGCGGGTAAACAGAGAGAAGTAAAAATTATTATTAGAACCTACCTTATACAACCGAGCCCAGTCACTATTTATAGATCTAAATAATTGCAGCTTTAATAACTGCTACATATAACGCCACATATAAATTAAACATAACATGTTTTATCCTGTTGCTCTAATATGTCCCGGCAAAATGATGGGTCAGGAATGGCGTTCAGTTTGAGTTTGAGTGTGTGAAATCTCGGTGTGGAGAGGGATTTAGTGAGGATGTATGCAACATGATTGATAGTACTAATGGGTAGAAGTCTGATGTTGTGCTGTTGAATGTGATCGCGAGCGAACCTGTGATCTATTTCAATATGTTTCGTGCGAGCTTGAAAAACCGGATTGTTTGTTAGTGTGATTGCATACGTGTTGTCGCAGTATAGGTCCATTGGCTGATTTTGATGTATACCAAAGTCCATGAGAATGCATTGGAGCCAGATGATGTCCGCAGTGAGTGCAACTAAGGATATGTCCTCAGATTCGGTGGAAGACCGGGTCACCGTGGTTTGCTTTTTAACCGTCTATGATATGAGAGTTTTGCCAAGGAATGAACAATAGCCGGATGTAGGCTTCCCGGAGAGGGGGTCACCCGCCCAATAAACATTTTAAAAAGAAGTGAGAGACAGATTAGATTTGTAATAGGTATACCATAATCGATCGTACATTGTAGATAGCGAAGAAGTCTTTTTAGAAGATATATATGTTGAGGCATTGGTTAATGCATATGTTGAGATAAAAGATTG